TTCGAGGGATATGGCTGGGTGAATATGCTTATCTGGGCCTCGCCGTGAACGTACTGACGGTGGTGCTCGAACATCCTCTTCTCGCAGCCGTTCGCAGTACAAACTGCGTTGGCATGTAGACAAATATCCTCTACATACTGCCCCAGCGTACAATCCGGTTCGAAAATTGCGTCACCGCCATGCTCATTGTAGTATTCCAAGGCGAGAAGATCTGGACCAGAACACGGAATCGATGTCGTTGTGCAGACAAGGCTGAACAGAACGACGATGTTCTGGTGCGCATAAGGATCGAAAAGACCGACGCTGCCAGCAACATAAGCCTCCCACTGTCGTTTCTGTGTTTGATAATGATGAAGCGCTCGGTCATATTCAGCATCATGAGCTGCGCGCAAAACCTCCTTGACCTTTAGCGGAGCTCCTTGCGGTGCCTCATGAACCATTTCGGGAGTAATGAGGATAAACTTTTGCGCCTTGGCCTTTTCATCTGCGGACAGTCCGGAGTCGGGATCTTGGTCGCGGAGACGCTTCAGGTAGGCCAGTCTGCGCTCCATCTCCCGAGCCCTCGCGAGCAAATAAGGAGGCTCAAATTTGACAAATGGCGAGGCAGACAAGATCTTTGTTTCATGGTCGTGGATGATCTCTTCGTAGTACGTCGGCATGGGAACATCATCTGGTACTTCGCTGGCCTCGCTAGGAGCCACCAATGCTTCTTGCGACGAATTGCTGGATTTCTTCTCGCCAGAGTCTCGGTCAAGTTCGCTCTTGTCGGGCTCGGTATCTGGCAACGACGGCATCTGCGCGAATTCGTCTCGCATCAGACATGTTTCGAGCTTGAGGTTGTAAACAACATATGCCATGAATTCAGTGATCCGCTTGACCTTGGCAAGGACATTTCCGTCTCCTCCCCGCAGGACAATCGTACAGCCGAGTTCTTTGCGGCAGCCCGACAGGTACATGTATGTCTTCTTCCGGCCATTGTACACATAAGTCTTGACGTCGAAGCTGCCACAGTCACTCGTCACAGGTGTGGTCACAAGCTTATCCATCGAAGTTATGATTCGCGTTTGAGTACAGCGAGAAACAGCTTCGAGGACCGACGATTTCACATTGTACGCGGTTGCGATATTGGCTTTGTCCAGAAGTTCGAGAGCCAGGCCAGACACGTTCTTCTCAACAAGGAGCAAGTTTGGTCGGAGAGCAGCAATGCGACTAACAAGATTCTCGAGGAACTCCCGTTCTTGACGAATCACGGGCTCCAAGCTCATAAAGTGCTGTTGATGCCGTGCGTACTCAAGTGGAAACGCGATAATCAAGATTTTAGGTTGCGGGATGCTTCGAGGCATACTCTTGAGTGCGAGGTTCTTGGTGAAGACGAGACCCGAGACATATGAGGTGTCCCCGGGCCTACCGCCTGAGATCTTCTTGAGTTTGATGTAGTGACGAATGTCCATATCATCGCCACCCTGCACATCGGGAACAACCTCATCAGCAGCCTTCAAGAGGATCGGTAGGAGAGCAGTTTCCCACTTTGACGCATTCGGCACCGAAGCATCTTTCAGGAGTTGTTGTAGAAGTCTTCGAACGTGGTGCAGACTAGCCTTGTTCAATTCAACCGGCGGCGCGCCTGCTCCCCTCATGGAGGAACTTCTCGTCATTTTGAACCCACTTGGAGCAATCCCTATGGAAAAGACATGAGCGACACTTGTCGGTTCATGTGGGTTGAAGACACTGTCTTTGGATGCTCTCGGGGAGTGACGCTGATGAACACTACTCGCAACGCTCAAATTGCGACGCCGAGAAGCCCGGGGCAAATTTACGGCTCTCGAGCTACTGAGACTTCCTTCATCACCGTCACGGTAAGAGAAAGTCAGATTCGTGGTGCTTCGGTCTCCGAAAGCAGACCGGCCCTTTTTCATCGCGGCGAGTAGCCCGCCAAAGGTGGTTCTCTCGCTTTCACCGCCGCTTTTAGACAAGGATCCTTCGGAGACTGCAGACAATAAGTTGGGCTGTTCATCAGCGCTGGAGGCGTCATCAGAAAGATACTGCGCCAAGTCTGGATCAATGATATTATCTTTATGGAACGCGGGAAGACGCTGTTCGCGGGTAGAATCATCTGCATGGCGTCGTTGGAATGGGGCTCTATCATCATGAAACGGTTTAAAGTTGCGAATATATTGCTGACGCGAGTGATGGCGCTTGTGGCCCATAGAATGAGGTCTTCCGCTCAAGGTAGACTTCAAGGATCTCGAGGATGTAGGCCTAGTCAGTGGCCTGTCTGGACTAATCTCAAGAACGGCAGAGCGGCGGTTGTGCCCTTCGCCTGCACGTCTCGTTGCTGGAATGGCCATAGTAGGAGTCTTCATGACATGCTCGATGGACTGAGAGACTATAGAGGACGTGTCGTCATCATCCGGCGGCATGCGTGAGTATATACTTGCACCAAGCTCAGAAACCCGAGGATTTATCACAATGGGGCTTTGTTCACTATCTGAAAACTCCGAGGAATCATCGTCATGGCCATTGATCATAGCCTCACAGGGTTTGCAGACACGAATGGTACCAGGTTGACCGAACCTGTCACCCGGAATGAGAAGTGTACATTTCGAATCAAAGATCTGGCCACAGGTCCGACAATGATGTTTGCGTCGGAAAGTGGAAAATGTTTCTCCACAATGGAAACAATCCTTTGCATTCTCATCTCGCATCCAAAACTCCTTGCTAAGTAGTTTGCTCCTTAGCTGAGACATGACGCCGTCGCCCCCACCGTGAGATCGCCGGCTTCGCCCATCTTGGCTCGAAACTCGTTCCACGGCCGTATTCAACGGAGGTAGTATGGGCGTGCCAGAGGTAGACTCTCCTGTTGAAGCCTGAGATTCCACATAGCCGGGTAAGCGACTGGCGCTTGATATAGAGAGCCTGTCGCCGGGTTTCTGTTTGACAGTAGCCTTCGCTGGTTCTTTTGACTGGGAGCTACCATCAGTCAGAGGCACTGAGACGTTAATGCCCGATGGCAATTTCCCTTCGGCCAGAGATCCTTCGCCGTGGTTCGGAACTTGGCTGACGCTGTTTGTCCTCGATCCAGAGGCAACAGTTGATCTTTCAGGCTTGAAAGAAGCGGCTGAGTTTGACCTCAATCGTTCATGGGGCAACGATATCCCATCTGGACCAAGATCAACCGACCTCTTAGCCTTACGCAATGGGCCAGGTAAATTGGCTTCTATATGTCCCTCCGACCTTCTGAAATAATCGGGGGGCTGACTGCCCGCTGTGGAAGATCTGCTAATTTCCGGGCCATCGTAGGTACTAGAATGCGACTTGATCTGCATAAGCGGGGAGTTCGGCAGACGTTGGCTCCAGCCTGACGAGCTTAGAGATGCGGTGTGAGGGCCTTCTTCCTTGTCCGTACCAGCGGAGTCAACTGTCTGCAAACTGTTGGTAGAGAAGTTGGCTGATGCATTACTTGAGTGAGGAGGTGGTTCTTTAACAGCGTTAACATGAATTTCCGTGACTGTAGGGTCGATGGCCAATGCACTGCCTGTTGTCTTTGGCAAGGGCGGAACGGGAGATTTCAAGGCCGGTTGTGGCAAGATGGAAGCTTTTGAGGATATACTCGTTGTCTTGGAAGAAACCTTGGAGCTCTTCGCCAGTCCCGACGGGGGTGGGCCATTTTGGGCGGAGAGGTTTCCAGGCACCGGCGAGTGTAATCTTGACCCTTGAGTTGAACCCGGATGGTACTGCTGCGACTCCGCGACCGAGTCCGGGGCCGATCTGGGGAACGAACGTTCTGACGGAAGCGGGCTTTTGAGGCCAGAGTCTTCGGCCGAGGTGTTGTTCGATGTTTTGCCCACGCCACCAACAATCCCACCCACTGATGTTCGGAACCTAGTATACAGTCCACTCAAACCTCCTTGCAGCTCGCCTGACAAGGTCTTCTCGTCGACGACCGAAGTCGGAGCTGGTGGACTAGTGAAGTCGTTGAAGACGGTGAGGGTATCGGACTGGTAGGCGGCGCTATGAATTTGATCGAGGGTCGCATTTAGGCTTTCGCGTTCAGCCTGCGTCGAGATAGATGCTCGAGAGCCTCGGCGACCCAGAGGAAGAAAGACCGACGATGCGGATGGACTCGACGTCCCCTGGGATCGTTGGGACGCCATCCAAGCTCCGTCACGTCTACACACACACGGGCGGCACAGAGAAAAGTATCTCCCGCGGGGGGGGGAGCTTATCGGATCGACCTCACAAGTTTATGAGGAGTAAGGGGTGGCAAACATTCGAAGTATCTTGCTGGGGCGGAGCTGGGTTGCTCGGTGATCGGAGTCTGTGCGGTAAGGATCCATGCATGAAGAGGTCGACTCCACATCATCTGGAGATGTTTATAACGAGTGGGTTTCTCGGGAAGAGGGTCGGTCGGACAGTCAGACAGTCAGACAATTCAGTTTCGCGTTCGGTCGAGGGACAAGAGGCAGACAAAAGGCAAAGTTTTGACTTTTGCTATGACAACGGGGGGGGGACAGGTGGAGAAGGCGACTCGGGAGAAAGTTGGAAGATAATTCGGTGATTCATTGTCTAGACTCGGCGACAGAGAGACAGAGAGGAGGGACAAGCAGAAGCCGCAAGGATTGGGACGAAGCCCATGACATGTGCCGCTGCCCAATGACGTGGTTTGTGGCACCGGCACCGGGAGGGGCTGTGGCTGGTGAAGGTACCATACTCACTAACTTAAGTTACGTACAGTAAGATTCAACTGATAAGTATGCGCCACATGGAAGGCGGTCAGACGCGTCAAATCGGCAAAGCTCGCGTTACACGGCGATCAAGGTGAAAGGGAAAAAAAAGCATGGTTTCTAGGAGAGGGGGTGTTGTCGTACTGCTCTCGACTTTTCATTTTCATATGAGCTTAATGGCTGCTGCTGTGGACCTTAGTGATTTGGACGGATCAGTGACTGTTACGCTGCTTGCATAATTAAAGCATTCCCATATGCAGACACCTAATGCCAGTTCTTTTTTTGATTTGTATCCCCGCCCAGACTACTATGCGCTGCTGTAGCAGCACAATAGACGAGTATCCTTCTCCATGATGGATACCCCGACGAAATGGATAACGTCGATGATTGAACGCCTCTTGAGCTCCTATCTGAATAAATCTTCGATTAAAATCCCTTTTGAGAACGACCAGAGCAACCTCCGCTTCCGCACACATGTCGTTAAGAGCGTTCTGGTGAACAGTGTGAGCCCACCTCCCCCTTCCTAAATTCCGCGGCACTAACAAGAAACTCTTCCGGCAGTGTACGGAAGACCGCCACTTTAACAAACTCAATGTAACCGACTCGGATGCCCAAATCGAAGCGATCTTTTCCAGAGAGGCGCTGGAGGACTATCAGAAGAGATACCCACAGCATCCGTTCAGCAAAGAGGAGGTACGGGGATACCGTGTTCAGCTGGAGGATTTTGAGCTGGTCTTAGAGTATACCACGGCAACCCCGAAGGTTCATCTCTATGTCCAACGTTTCAAGGTAGAATGGGGCTCGGCCAGGGTCAAGACACCCCCAAAGGGGAAGACCCTTCGGAAACATCCGGTTTATAAGTTGATGCAAGATGCGTCCAGAGACGCCAAGCAATCTCTGCAGCATATTATGGCGCCTGCCCCTCGACGTAATGATTCTTTCTCTTCGCAGACCCATCAAACGTTCCAGATGCCTGCCTCGCAGAATGGCTTCATGTCCCAGGTATATCCAGCTCCTCAGGCTCAGGCTATGCAGCATCCGCCTCGCCCGGACAGAGATGCCAGGGTCTCTACTCTACTTGCAATGCTAGATCAGCGGGCTGGGACTAATATTCCATCGGATCAACTGGGGCGCGTACCTTCCCTCCCTCCGACTCCGAATCACCAGCATGGAATTGCGGTACCTGCAGCAATGGCAAACATACCATCTGCCAGGTACTATACTGCAGAGCCTGCCAGGGTCAATATAGACATCGCGCCTTTGCCCTCTACCGTGCCGAGTGCAGCCGCGCAACCCGTCCCGCGCCCATCGAGCAATCAGTTCCTTCGGTTGGCTTCGCAGCCTCCTCTCGCCAAGGACAGCGTATCTCTGTCCAGAGTATCAAGGAACTCTGCGCCACCAAATAGTGAATTTGAAGCGGAGCGACTGCCACAGCTAGCAGGTTTGTCTCAAAAAGGCACAGAGAAACAAACTAGTCCCCCACTGCAGATGATCCAACAATCTCACAGGGCTGTAGTCAAGGAGAAGCAGCCGCTGGAGAAACTGGGACTTTGCCTTGAAGACCCCTGGAAGGACTTGACGCGGATTGAGGAACGGGATATTCGTATACCCAAGGACCAACAGAATTTACTAGGGTTATATAAGCGCCGCTGGATACCACCTCTACCCGGGGAAAGCAAACCACAAGGCCACGTACCACCTCGTCTACTTGCTCAGTGGAACACTATTGTGACGCGAAGAAGCCGGGCCGCTAGCGAAAGGTCACTGGAAAAGGCAACACCGGAAGCGCTTCCATTAGAACGGCCTTCACTTGGTCCTCCCAGCCCTACCCCTCGAGCCGATTCAGACTCAGAAGGCGAACCTTTGACGTCGCAGTGGTCAGAAAGCTCCCCTGAACAGACCATACGTCGACGTCCGGCTCTGCCTGAAGACAGTAGCCCTATAAGGGGGAGCCCGCGCAGGCTAGGGCGCAATGTACCGGTGGCAGATAGACCCAAAGTGCAAGCTGATCGTCTGACCGAGGAGTCTATTCCAGATTCCGATCAGCGTGCTCTAAGCACGATATCTGAGAAACCAGGGGGCATTGCTGGCAGGGCCAAAACAGATATACATCCTGCTAGGCGAAGCATCCCAGTCCGAGCCCAAAGTCTACGAGATGACTCGGATGGCGACAGCGATGACTCCATGATGGATACCTCTGTGCCCTGTCCACTAGGGGTTGAATTATCTCAGTCGCAGTTTTTCACTCAGTCGGAGCGGGAGATAACCAGCTCAGGTCCGTCTCTTCCTGCGCCCGCTACACAGGATCAGGTGCAGGTCGTTGATACTCCCGAGACAAACTTTGGACGGTTCCGCCATTCTCAGCCCGAACTGAGTAGCAAAGCCCCGGAAATGCAGCCCTTTAGTACCCAGTCACCCAGTGTAGACAAATCTTCGTCTCAGTCACGAATTCTGAATTCAGTTGGGAGTAACACCGACAAAGGGTCTTCCTCTCAAATCCTTTCAAATGATCAATCGCGGGGCACCAACGCGGAAATCCGGGTAGACATTGCAGGGACACAGATGAGCAATCAAGACCTGTCAACGCAGGACCCAGCGCCCGGTTCTACCGCGGATATGGTTCTAGATTCAAGTGCCCCAAGACTGCGTGAAGCGAGTGTGATCATGGAAGTCGCAATGCCCTCATCTCTACCGCTCGAGACCAGTGGTCAAAAAGGAGCTAGCTCCGAATTCCGGGCACAGAGATCGTCAAACAGGCATTCCGTGGGAGTGGTCTCGAAACGGCCTGCGTCTGCTCTCGAAGACGAGGCAAGTGGCCCATCCAAACGACCTCGAACGCAGCCGCCTGAGACAGCTCATGAACCAACTTCCAGCGCATTGCATCCACAGAGCCCCCGCAATCCCGCTGATAGCTGGGAAGCTCAGCAGACTTATGGCAAGTTCTGTCGTAATTATCCAAACTATACTGGCGACTTTCATCACTTCACCAAGCTTTGCTCTAAGCTTCAGGCTGTGCGAGCCAAGGGCCACCTGCAACGGTCGTTTCTATGGGATGACTTCATTATCAAGCATCTCGAAGAGTTTCCTGGCTATATACAGCAAAACCAGATGTCAGAATCCAAGTCCATGGATTACGAGGACTATTTTGCATCTACGTTTTCCCGACCTGTTTACAAGAAGCGAAGCCTGACAGCGCAGGGTATTGCAATTGCAGCAGCACAGTATGACCCAGCCAGGAAGGAGCCTGCTCCTGCACATGCTTCGCCAACCAGGCCAGAAACCTCGTTCACCGGCAGCCTTGTGGACCGCTTCACTAATTTGCATGCTCACTCTTTCGAGCTAGGAAGTCAGGCCACCTTATCCGACACTGATATGGATATATCGTCTGTAATGTCGTCGCCCACTCCACATCGCCAGCCCCACTCCGTCGTCCAGGATGGGGCTTGGAATACGACACGCCATACAGAAAAAAAGCCCCCCGAGGAAGATGCGTCTTCTGACCTTGCGTCAGCAGAGCGGCTCGTGATACCTACAAGCTCCGCTAGCGCTTACGAGTCTGCCCTGGAATATGCCACCATACACGAAGATATTACCGTCTTCGAGAAGGGGGAGATCTTGGAGTTTAGTGGCCTAGAAAGTGGGGAGATATCTGAGGCAGCGACACCAACTCCAGGCAACCAAGTTTCAGCGTTTGAGACTGCGCAGCACGGACAGCACACTGGGGAGCATTACATGGATGATCGAGATACCGCTGCAACACCCGCAGACCCAACTACCGTGGTTGAGTCCGAGCAGCACGCTTCGCAAGTCGAGGAAAGTTCGATGGCTGATCGCGATGCTACTCCAACACCCGCGGAACCGATGACAGTGGCTGAATCCGAGCAGCCCGCTTCGCAAGCCGAGGACAATTTGATGGCCGATCGGGACGCCACTCCAACACCAGCGGAGTCAGTCCCTGTGGTTGAGTCCGAGCAGCATGTTTCGCAAGTCGAGGACAGATCGATGGCCGATCGCGACGTCACGCCAATACTAGCTGAGCAAATCCTCGCTGTTCAGCCTCAACAGCATGCTTTGCAAGCCGAGGACAGCTTGATGGCCGATCGCGATGCCACTCCAGCACCAGCGGACTCAGTCCCTGTGGTTGAGTCTGAGCAGCATGCTTCGCAAGCCGAGGACAGCTTGATGGCCGATCACGATGTCACTCCAACACCAGCGGGGCTAATCATCGCTGTTCAGTCTCAGCATGAATCGCAAACTAAGAGTCAGACTGTAGCTGACCAAGCTGCTGAGACGACAGTGTCCGAGCATGTGGTGATCAGCCAAGTAGACGAGCTTGAAGGCAACCAAGATGTTTCAATGGGCGAGCCGGAAAGCCCGGATAGATCGATCATGGAAGATGCTGACAATATGGTTGGCCAAGAGTCGGAACCGGTGGCCCCAGAAGAAAACCTGGAAGTGATCAGTGCAATGAACGCAGCACCTTCAGTGCTTGAGGCGCATGCCAAGGTACCTGCTGAAGACGCCCACGCCGCCGTCAATCAAGGGGCAGAAGAAACGGACACAGGAGAAAACCCGTCATCAGTGATTGCAGCTAGGGAAGTTACTCTGGAAGAACAGAACGAGTTGATTGTGGAAGACATACATGACACAGTCGGCCAGGAAGCCGAGGATATTGACTCAGCGGAGCACCTTCAACCCGTCGCTGCGGTGGACCAAGCAGGACCTATGGCCGCGGGGGAACAAAGTCAAACTCAATCCCACGGCACACCTGACCAAGAAAGCCAAGATGTCGATATGACAGTAGAAAGTCAACAGTCGTCGATTCTAACCACGCTAGATCCTGATGGCCATGGAACTGCGCCATTGGACTTAGCAGAACAGTCACAGGCCATTCTTGCAGAGGACCAGGCTAGGTCTCCCGAACCAGAAGAGCATGATGAGTCGACGGGGCAGCACTTGCCATATAGTGCAGCAGGGGAGCTAAATAACTCCGAGTCGGAAGAACAAGATGCGCCGATTAATCAAGACACTCCCACAGTTGATCACAGAAGTCGGGCCTCCGAAGAACGGGGAGAACACGACCAATTGGTCATACAAGACATCCAAGACTCATTTGGTCAAGAAAATGGAGCAATGGACTCAGCAGGAATCCTGCATTCTATTGTTGCAGAGGATGGGGTAGTGCCCGCCCAGCCCTTTGCTGGAGGCACCAATGATGTGCCTGCCCAAGAGGCGGATGCAATAAATTTGGCTGAGCTAGACACTGTTGTTGCAGGAGATGAAACAGTATCTGCCAAGCAACCTCTGTTAGAACAATTGGAGCCCTCGGACGCGGAGACTGAGAGCGCGGACGAAGATCTGCATTCATCTCTTGCAGTGGATGAAGCTGTGTCTGCCAGGCAACCTCTGGTAGAACAACCGGAGCCCTCGGACGCTGAAACTGAGAGCGCGGACGAGGCGCCGCGCTACCCCATGGTTGCGGTCGAAGTGAGATCCGTTGGAAATGGTTCAGTTAAGTCAGAAGAGCTCTCCGATGCTGATGTGGAGAGCGATGTTGAGCAGGTGCACTCTGTTCTTGTAGAAGATGAAGCCAGCGCTGCCGACCTAGCTCTGCCAGATCCAGCAGAGCACTCAGACATTGATATGGAGAGCGATACCGAGATTCTGCCCTTTGTCCCGGCGAAGCACGCAGCCAACTCGGCCGAACACGCTCTAGTAGAACCGGCCGAGCACTCAGATATTGTTATGGAGAGCGAAGTAGAGCTGCTGCTCTTCGACGATACAGACGACAAAGCTAGCTCAACCGAGCAGGCACCAGTATCTCCAGAAATACACTCCGAGATCGAGACTGCGGGCCCAGCCGATCCCAACGCGACGACCGAGTCCGAGTCCGAGGAGGACGAAGAAAACGATGATTCCATGGACATTGGGGAACACCACGAGACCGCCAGCATTGAACTAGGCGACGAACCGCCGTCCCCGCCGCCTACTACTCGACCGCCAGCGCAGCCCGAGATCGTATCCGAGGCGGAGAGTGACACTGATGATGAGATCAACGAGAATTGGTTCCTGTCCCTCCGCCATCTCCGTCCGACAGCACCGGTCTGGTCGGACGACCCCAACACCCCTTTCAAGCAGTGGGTTCGAGCCGACCAGGCGATTCTGAGCGAACGTGACCGCCGCGGCGGGGCCTACCTTCCTGTCGATGCGAAAGGGGTGATTCAACGACCGGGCTATCGATAACTTTTCATTTTCAGGGGCTTATCTTCTACTTTTCTATTCGGGGTCTATCTCTTACTCTTCTTTCCCTTTCGGTGTACATCTTTACGTGGGACTTATTTGTTATTCTGCTGATAAAAAGCGGGCGACATGAACTAGATGATTATCCTCCGATTCGATGAGAGAGTTGCGAGCGGTTTAAGTTCGGATAAGGATCCAGGTTTATGACTACCACATTTTGTATTCTATTGAAATGCTGCTGGTGCGCATCGCATAATGATACCCAAATTGTACTTGGGCCGTGGATACTACTATGTACTACTCCATAAGCAAGGCCATGATCGATCATGGTCTGGCCGCTTGCCGGATTCCAATTCCGGATTTTGATGCGGTGCGGAAGGTCCGTGCGCAAGGCATTCATAATGATGTAAGCGGGAAGACCCACTCTGCGCCGGAACAGCTGTATATCCGCTTCCGTAAGTTCCGTCGCCAGCTCCACCGGGCGCTTCTCCATCTTTCCTCTTCTCCCCATCTCACCTTCATCCTCTCACTTGGCAACATCCACCCCACATAAAGGAAGTATCTGCTGCTTGCTGTTCTCGCCGCCAGGCCTGCCATTCCTGTGGTTTCATAGGACTCTCTGGTTTCATTTATTGACTTCAGATTGGGCACGTTCTCGTGACCAGGCCGCAAGACGCTTTTACTCCCTTTATGCCTCTTATTCTCGTTGTTGATTTCATGCACGTACTATGAGTCAGGGCTGCTCACTTGCTTTTCAAAGCCTGGGTGGGAAAGGGTAAACTCGATTCTTCGAGGGTTTTCGTCTCCAATCTGATTTATCTTGCAACGACAGCACCATGGCCGATTCAGCATCGACAAATTCGCCGTGGGCCACACGCGTGAAGGCCGTTTTGGTCTCTTCATCCACTCGCGAGAATCCCTCTGTTGCTGGTTTTCGTCTTGCCTATGATAAAATCACTAACCAAGGATGCATTTCTCTCAGTATCAGGGCAAATCTATCGAATCGTCCGAGCGGTGAAGAAGATACGCTGATATTGAGAATCCCTCCCGAGTCAGTCAAGACATGTAGCCTAATCTCAGCAAGCGACGAAACACTTTGTTCCGACTATTTTGCTTCGAAGCTTCCGACAAGAGTGAAAAACATTCGAGACGTCTCAACACTGACACTGGAACTTAATCGGGCACCCGCGGAGGGGACGGTTCTTTGCTCATCTGAGATGTCGTCTCTACCCCTTGCGACTCATGGGGACTGGAATTTCGCTGCCTTTGCAAGGATTTGTGAATTCGCTTCTCTACGTATCCACTTTGCCGCGCGACAATTCGTGGGTGGTGAACTCGGGATCTTGAAGACTTTCGTCCGTGGCTTTCAGACAAGAAGCCTTAAAGCAGTATCTTTTGATGACTCTCGCCAAGGTCTGGTCGAGAGAGTCTGGAAGGACCTGAATGTGTCGCTTGAGCGACCGCCAGATTATGAGGAGCCTGCGCCCGAGCAGGTCAAGCAAGTGGATCCACCCCCATATAATGAGGAACCCAAGTCAGCGCATGTAGGCGGGAAACGGGCCCGAGGTATCCTATCATCTAGTAGTCCTTTGTACTTTAAACCTTGTACAACAGCGTTGTTGATCATACGTATATAGACCACTCTTTAATACCGTCATCCGAGGATGACAGACGAAAGAGACCACTCTTTACCTCCCCGGAACCGCCCTGCTGTCCCACCGAAGTCAATACGCCCAGTACTCTCCCTCCGTCACCGGCCTCAATTCGTCCCACCGAGTTCTCACGCCGTTCCTCTCCAAGCCGTACAGAGCGTGACACACTTGCACGTCTTGAACATATGCTCAGTGGTGCTTCCGCCGACCTGATCCGCAAACTATTGGTTCGATTAGCAAGTCGATGCCTACAGGCTACACCTGGAGATCCCGAGGATCATCTGCTGTCTGACTCCGAGAAATTTCCTTCTGCCCGGATGGAATCCATGGAACGCCGCCTCGAACGCATTGTCGAGGAAAAGATCAAGTGTTTCATCGAACCACACATCCTCGACGCGATCATCGATAGCGCTGTAAGCGAGTGCCGGGATCAGTTCCTGGATGAATGCCACCTTCACGAAATTGAGTTCCGTGACCAGGTCGAGGACGGCAACACCGAGGTCCGCATTACCGCCAACGACTGCATGAAGGAAATGGAAGAACAAGCCCAACGGCATCTGGACGAAATGAAAGAGCAAGCGCAGCAGTATTTGCATAAGATCGAGGACCAGGGAATCGAAGCGGAGATATCCGTGGAGAAAAAGGTTGCGAAATTAAAGCATGAGTTGAACATGTCGGCGCCGTCTCTGCCTGGTCGCGAGTCAAGGCCTAGCCAGGAACTTGGCCCCAAGGGTAGGCGCAGCTCTATCTAGTGCTTTGGTTACAATCGCAGAATCCCATCTCTCGTTTCTATCCTGCCAGAGTATCGAAGGGACGTCCGAAGCACTGAGGTTGATGAAGTCAAGGCCAACGTTATGGGGAACTTACTGGCTGCTCCCTGCAGTTCCCGCCAATCATGCTACTAGGTAAGGGATTTTCATTGCCGCACTAAGGGGCCGGCCATGCTGAAGTCTTACTGCCCCTTGCGGTTTAGCGTGTCTGCTTGCTCCCATTCTAGATGCTCTCCTCGTGGAGGTTATTTGTACTTCGGCCACAGCCATCCGAGAACATCTTATCGCCGGAAATGTCGACCGCCGATGAAGTTGTCCGCCCTACACCAACCCAATAAGCCTGAGTGCTGAGACATCTCTCGGTTGCATCGAGGCAGAGAACAGAGCAAAAAATACTCTGTAAGCACACTATATCATGCTTCCAGGGAAATCCTCTGTACTGAGCCTGCTCACAGCTGCCGCACCTTCTATATGCGACATGCACTTTGACCCACACTCTGAGGGGAGGGGGTTCTGGGCTGGGCTTGTGCGCACTCGAGCCTCTGAAACGAGCCATTCTCCAGGGGCCCTGAAGCCAATGAGTTTAGCTAGGCAATTGGAGGACGGGCAGAGGGAGTCGAGATTAGGTAATCATCGGCGGTCGCCTAGCTGTTACGTGCTTCGCGCTTGATGACTCGTACAGTGCCTTGCACGACTGCCATTCCTACCCCGGACTCTCCAAATTCAGCTCATAGACCTAAGCTGTAAGCATTAAGTCATGTACAGTTGGGACGAAAATATTATTCCTTAGCAGAATTTTATAGGTCTCGTAACCTTAACTCTTAACTGAAATCAATCAGATCGAGAATGGGAGAAACGGAGACTATTAACAAGGTATGCCGGATGGGTCCCTTCTCCATACCATCATCAGAGAAAAGAAGTGGTCCAGTCGTAACAGCTGAGGAGAGGCAAGACTTTGCAAGTTCTCTGTAAATTGTTCTTCTTGAACCTACACTTATTCCAACCAATTATCCTATACCACGTGATTCCGTTTTGTTGAAGCATCCGGCTCGAAGATACTCCGCTCCGGTCCTGGTCCTCCGGGTCAAGATCAAGGGTCACCGCCCGCAGTCGGTCGGGTCTACCCTGTTATCCTAGTATGATCTACTGTTATAGTTGCTGCATCACTACTATAATTGCTATGGGACCAAGGCCCTAGTATAGAGCTCGGCTTCAGGCAGCAGATGGTGCCTGAGGCCTCACACGCTTCGTACTAGAGCTAGCGCTAAAGCGCTCTGGTGGGCTCTGCTTAACATCCTAGTAGTACCCCAGGAACTCAATACTGCCGGTAAGATAAGATATATTTAGTATATGTTTAATCCTAATAGTAGCTGTAGTATCTGAACTTAATATAAGAGAAGAAGAAGGCCCTGCGGGCCTGCGCTCTGAGTTAAATAAATATGTAGTGCTATTGATGCCTGAGGCAACAGTGACAGTCACATGACAGGCTATCAAGGAAGCCTGTCACCGAGAATTCCAAACCGGAATGCATGGAATATGCTCAGTGAAGGATAGTATGTTCAATACTCGAGAAGACACATGAGTAACAAGACCAGCCAACCATACTTCAGGGCATGGGCCACTTCACATATCCCGGCTCTTGCTCCAGACGACCTGCCCGCACCAGGTTGTCAAACGTCCAGTCGCAATGGCAGCCAAGGAGACTAATGTTCTGCAAAGCACGGGCAATGAGTTAGTTACCCTGAATCATGAAAGCACCACACTATTGCCGAAGCTAAAAAGGCCGAAAATCAGTCGAGGGGAATAAAACCTACCTCGTGATTGAAATCCGCATGCCCATGTAACGCACCGACTTGTCTCCAAGTAATCACCGTGTCCGCCAACAGAGAGAACTTCCCACTGCTGACCCACGTAGCCGTGGAGCGACCTCGATCGTATCGGAACCAATGGCCGGTGTCGTGGGCAGGCGCCGGATGACTCTCCGTGGCCGCCTCGAAATGGAGATGGGCCATCCCAGGGGGATATAGCTGGGGGATGGCCTGCAGAAACATAGTCTTTAGAGCAGGCATATGCTGGGCCGCTTGGCCGGCTGCTCGATGAAGGTCGTTGAGGAGATCCGCCGGCTTACTCCGAAATGCGTCGGGGTACCGGTCTTGGGGAGCCGGAGTTCGGAGGTCCTCCCTTGTTCCCTCGTAGACATCTTCCCACTGAGACAAACTATACGGTTGACAGCGGGGGTCCTTCTCGAACAGCCACTGTCCTGATGGCGTCACCGCTTGGTAGACGAGTTTCAATGAGGTGAGCCGTGGCCATCGGGGCGGTGCTGAATAAGGGTGCAGCGGCGGCCAGAAGAATTCAGGGCCGATCATAATCTTGTCAATCTCGACGGTCACCAGCTGCTGCGTCAGATGGTTGAGAGCAAGGCTGAGCGGGTCAGCCCAAGGCTCCGACCGCCGAAAAGGGGGGAAATGTCCATCTGCTGGAGGAAGTCCCGGATATTCTAAACAAAAGTGTTTAATAGTGCTTGGCCAGTTCGATACGGTGAGGGCAAATTCTAACAACGCGAGTTTTTGATTTCAGCCTAAGTAAATCATAGAGGTCAGAATAAGGTACTGTACCATTCCGGAGTTGATCCCGCAGCTTTTGATCTTTTCGTTCATTGTCTGAGAGGCTTACATGAACTATCTGCGCTCCAGGAAGCCGCGATAACAACTTGGAGACTGTCGCTGGGGCGATCTTACGATGACCACGGCATAAAACTATGAATTGCGTCACGCAGCTGAGCTCGGGCAATATAGTCGGATTTGTTATCAACTCCAGGTAGGATTGATAGAATCTCCAGTCTAACCAGTCCTTCTTAGGGAATTTGCGGCCCCATCGCCGACGAGCCATACGTTATTTTTCATCAGGTTCGGCACCACAATCGCTGAAAGATCTGGCACGTATATTCAGCGAAAGTCCTGCAACATCCTCTTCAGACCATGTACTCAGAATATCCCAGAAAGAGACTATGGTCTGGGTGAACGCCTCATTGTTTTTCTGGCGATCTATTTGGCTTTCCAACTGGGTCCGTGCAGCAATCTCGTAGGCAGGAAGCAGAATATACAGATCCAGATAACGGATAAAGCAGCACCGGTGTGCACTAGAAGAGATAATCCGTTTGAAGTCACTCAACCGGTCAGAAGTTAGAAGAAGATGGGAGAAGGTCTGCTTCTCACTCAGCACCTGCCATTTTCTACAGACACTGGCGTAAGAAGCTAAAGAGGCTGAGCCTAATTGTGTCAGAATCAAAGAGAGGATTTCGGAGGGCAAAGCACTGATTTCAGTCATGGTTGATTTGAACCTCCAATCTTGAAAGTAAAAGGTAAAAGTTGTTGAAGGGAAGTCGACTCTACACTGGCACGTGTTTGTGGTCCATCGGGATGGAGGTTTCTCGGTCACCCGTGACCGATCAGAGCTAATTTATCTGGTAAGCGGATAAGCCCACGGCGCCTGCTCTTCCTGCTCTTTGGTACTACCTGATTAGGTACCTAGGTAGCCTAACTTATGAATCGGTTGGGTTTGCTCGCTGCCAATCGTGGATACAAGGACTTTTATATCCACAAGAGTTTGATCGGCTACTACAAGGAGTAACTAGTCAGTGCATCATGGCAGGTAATGATGATGGGAGTAGAGGTTGATGCTCCTCGAGCGGGGCTTCATGCATCTCCCAGGTCCACAGCAATTCACCTCCCATCTAGACACCGCTCTGAATTCAAACCTCCCACTCAGTCCGTTGGTTCTCCCGACCCATACACTGCTCCACTTTCGAGCCACCATCGGTTGCATAGTAGATCGTGCCTGTCTTGGCTCCTCCGACCCAGGTATCGCCGCCAAAGTTCTCGTTGGTCCAGTGGATCTTCTCTTCCTTTTCAAGCGGCGAGTAACAATACGCGTAAATTTTCGCATCGCACACCTCTTCCGGACCATACACAATGGCTAGAGGTTTTGCTGTCGACTCGGCGGGTTCGGGCATGGGCCACTCACTCGACAGACGCGTTTCTAATGCATGAGGACTCGATATGTTAGCATCCGCTCTCAAATGACCCACCGACTTTAGTACACTATTCAACAGTAATCAGTATGTCAATGAAGAATAGAGTAGATGTTGGGATTTGAGCAAATTACATAACTAGCATATGGATCGGGTGAGGTCTCACCAAGTATATCTCAGCCTGGAGTAGCTCCCCCCTCCGGTAGGATGGCCTCCTTTTTTGACATGCATATTTACTGCTCCACCACTTGTCCAAGTACATACGACCACAGGGTGTGGAAAATAGGGCTTCCCGTCCGCTCAGCCGTACTCAAGCCACACGCCGGGAGGTTAGTAGTTGGGTGGGTGACCACCAGCGAATCCCTTCTGTTGTATGTTTTTGTCATTTTTGGTTTTGTTTTTTTTTTGCACTTTACTTGCTTGTCGGACTTGGTCAGGTAGATTAGTAGAAGATGTAAACTTGGATTGATGCGGGCGTGCCTAAATATTCCATGATCAATTAAGAAGATGGCCGAACCCCGGAGTATTCGAAGGTGTAACAATCTCCCCAGACCCAGTTGGGTGACATAAAAACATATAAGAAGACAGCAAGTTTTGTTCAACTTTCGAGCCAGGCAATCCAAGCATAAAGGATAGGCTTGGAGCTTGAGGATGGCTGTCAACAAACTGTTCATTGCATTTGATGGTCATAACAGACAGATGCTTCTTAAGACTAATCAGTCGCATAATCTAGCATGTTCTTCCAATATTTCAAGTTTCTCCCCTTGTTATCAACCCCTTCGTCTGGTGGACCAGCAAACGGCAGGAGCATCTTCACAGTGGACGCGTGGCCATTATCTCTCGCGCATCGCAGAGCTGTTCTTGACTTGGTATCGACAATAGAAGCATCCGTTACCTTCAGCAGATATGCTGTTATCTCCGCAAATCCTTTTTCCGCAGCACAATGCAATGCGGTTTGGCCGAACCCATCAAGTGTATTAGGGTCACTTCCATATTCAGTCAAGAGCACTACTATATCCTTTTGGTTTCGCTCACTAGCCTAGTGGAGGGCTATTTTCCCGAAGGGTCCCTGAATGTTGGCATCGACCCCGCTCTTGATCAATAATTCGACAGCAGACCATTGCCCAAACTCTGCAAGACGTGCGAGGTGCTCACCCAAGTTTGATTGAGAAGGTATCCCTCTTGAATTAGTGATTTGATTCGCGAGAATCGCAATATCGTCTAGTCCGCTGGCATCTGAGTGCCTCGAAATGACTATATGAAGAGCTGTTTCACCTCGACGATTTGTCAAGGTGATATCAGCACCGGCGCTGATAAGATGCTTCATGATATTGAGTTTATCTCTTTCTTCTTCATTTAGACTCCATTCAAATTTGCCGGAAAACGATTTGGAGCCGAGAAATAACCTGTTCCTAGAGACGCCTCGCTTTCTGGCATATTCTCTCCTAGAGAAATCTCGCGATACAGCAGCTTCACGAAGAGCGGTATCGAGGTCTTTGGCTGTTGCATAAGGAGAGGCAAGAAGCCCTAAAATCTTTTCTTCGTCTGTAAATGCAGCAATGTGAAGGGCCGTTTCACCCTCCTTATTTGCCAGGTTGACTTCCGATCCGGCATTGATGAGGTATTCGATCAAGTCCGGTTTTTCTCATTCCACTCTTGCAGCTTTATGGAGAGCTGTCTCGCCGCTCGCGTCTTTCAGGTGGACGTCCGCACCAGAAGCCACGAGGTTCTTCACCGTTTGCAATTTGTCTCTGGCTTTAGCCCTGGACTGCGTCCCATCTGATACTACCCAAAATGATTCGTCCAGAATTGATATAATAAGCAGAGGCTGTCTCTGTTCGTAGCTGAGGCCGTTGAAATAAGCATTGGCTTTGTTACCATGCAGGGTGTCGTTCACGACTGTAGAATCTGTGTAGAATGCTTTGTCAACCGACAACAGAAACCCCAACATTCGGTTGGCCCAAAGCGCGTATCGCAAAGCTACTCCAAGAGCGAATCTGGTTTCCAGTGCATCGACGTGGTGCATTTTGCGAAGCAAGGCGAGAGAAACCTGAAGCTTCTCCGCCTCGGGGAGTCCCTCATCCAAGGCCACGCTAAACAAAACTCCGCCCCAGGCTTTTGTGAAAGTTGGGACATCGATTAGAATTTCAAGCCATTGATAACTGGCTTTATCATTCAATGCTGGGAGCGAAAGAAGTTCCCCTTGGGAAACCGTGCGGTCTCCCGTCCTCGTCAAATAGAGTAACAAGGCATGATGTTTGTGCTTCAGCGCCCACACCAACTCCTGCTCACCACAACTGAAAAAGGCAGAGAGATCCTTGACAAACCTCTCAGTTGCTGGATGCCCATAGTCGCCCCTTGGGCTACTTTGGTCTACCAGGTCCCAAGGTCGGCTGAAAGGTAGGGACCTATCTTCAACGCATCTGCAGAAGAGAGTCCACATTTCCTCATCATCTGGTTCAAAGCCATCCAAATGAAGAAGCAAATGATCTCTGACATAAAAAAGAAAGGCGCCAATCTGCATCGGATATGTGGAAGAGAAGCCATGATACTCAGGGCCTCCAAGCGACCCTCGCGCATTTCTCTCGATCTTGCGAACATTGATGCGTGGCAATTGCCTCTTCCTGGACGATTGCAGCTTCCATAACATTCTATTCTTATGGGAGCTGTCAGGATAGATCGAAGATGCGCCCAGGAAGAGAGGATCGACGAGTCTTTTCCCAGCCTTCTCTAATTGACGACCGAAATTGGTGAAATTTAGATACGTCATGCACAGAGAGCCAAAGTGTTTATTAACGCTTTCAGCATCGAACTTTGCGGAGTCTTTGTTCTTAGTGCGGCACAGATGTTCCTTAACACTATGATGAGTGTAATGAACTGTCTGCTCTTCGTCATCAATGAATGTCAAACCGAAACATCCACGGACAATTCGATTCATATCATTGGGTAGCCGCTTTGTGTTCAGAGACTTGTCGCCGAGGGAAATGCTTAAAGCTTCTCGGTATTCTTCAATAGTCAGTGGGCGCTTCACGACACCGCAGTATTGGAGCAAGTCCATTGCATGGTGAGAGTCCTTTCCCTGCTGGATTCGACGAATCTTTGAGTCAAAAAGCTCAGCCAAACCACGCGGGAGGTGCTTCAACGCATCAAGTATGTCTTCATCGCAGTTCTTTTCACACAGATCTCTGATACATAGACCTGCCCAAAGAAACCTAAGTGAGATCCGATTAGAGCTTTCAACTTCAACACCTTGGCTGGTCCTTGGATATTATACTTACATTCCTTGGGAGCCCTCCAGTAAAGCATCCGCGATCGTTGTGATGATATCCTCATCTTGGAGGACAAGCTCCCCATCCTCCAAGCAATCATATAGGGTTGCAGCGATGTATCGTTCCATATCGACGTTGAGCTTCCCCTGATCAATCACAACGCGATGCTGTGGCCGGCCCCTCTTGAACAAATCCACCTCAAGGCCCGGACGACCCGTACAAATAATCTTCAACGTCCCGACCTTTCCTTGGGAGAGCATTTCCAAAGCCCTTGCCATTTCTCGAATCTGAGCCGTCTCACACTCGTCTATCCCGTCGAGGACAATATAGTACATCCGCTCCTTGACCATTCTCGAGAGGAGGAATTGTATGGTTTCATTCGTGTCCAAACCTTCACAATCGTGCTCAATCGAGAGCAGATCTTCGTGGCTGCTGCCCTCAATCAACGAATCAAGCAGCTGGCGACAAATGCTACCGACGATGTTTCGCGCCGAAAGAGATGGCTGATTGTCTGCTTGACAGAAGAAATGCGCAACAGAATCACTCGCCAAAGCCGACCTTCAGTTCGACGGTATCTGAAAATGCTCACTCTGATGTGGCATTGGCCCGCCTGGGAAACACGGACGAACAGTCTATGCCGTGATCGAAAACAACGATCCTACCAACTTTGTCCCATTCATTCTACTCGCGGAGAAGGGCTATACTCGACCGACATATGCTTCGTCGAGAGAGGTGTCGAGAAGGGAGTCCACGGCGGTGACGCCGGCGTTGTGGATGAGCACATCCTATCCGTTTCGTCTCGCATCAGTATCGGCGCAGGAACGGATTGATTCAACGACAGTCATCGCTGCAGCTGGTAATCAGAACCTCTTCAAGTATTTCAACAGTTTGAAGCGATGTGTAAAGTTTGTATGAATGAGTGGAGCTGATGGCATTGCCGGATGACGTACGCAGTAGGAAGTGATGACCGGACTCTGAAGAGTTGAATCGGTTGGTATGGGCAGAGTCACGGTGAGGGGGGCGAAATAGGAGGAGGTTCCAACATGGATAGAGACTCACATCCATTCAAAAACGCAAGATGCTGGCCCATGTGATGGCGGATGAGCACCGGGATTGAATCGGATCTGCAGAAGTCGGGTGCAAGGGAGAGGAGGGGGGTTTATAGTCCGACTCGAAGTGCGCGCCTTCCTGAATCGGCTCTGCCCGCAACACCCCCCTCCCACAAACCAGTATGGTTGCACAATGGGAAGGAAGTGACTCGTGAGAGTGAATCCTTCATTGAGATCTTCGTGACGCTTAGGGACTGATGACTTTCTCAGATTTATCAAATTCATGAGAAGTATAATTCAGATCTCTAAGTGAAATAGCCTTTCATATTTTCGTTGCTAAGATTGATCCAGACTAAAGGGTGAAGGTCTAGATGATCACTGCAGCAAACTGAAAATTAGCTCCTAGCGTTCAACGACAACAGACCCAGAAAGCCAGAGATATGCGTATACCAACTTTCACGAGACACTACTAAACAACCCATGAGATAAGATAAGTTTTAAATTTCCCATCTATAGGTACAAAAACAATGCCGCGGAGCAGCAGGTATCACAAGATAAAAGCAATTGAAGCAATGTACAAATCAAAATGAATGTGAGGAGATAAGAAGTCTAAAGCGAATCAACTCTCGGTTGCAGATGCAGCTTGCATTAACGTCATTAGACCAACATGAGCCCCAATCAACAGTTGAATAAGAGGCTTGTTGGTATGTCATCATGATTTTAAGAGGTCATTATCTCCGGGTTCTTCCAACCGAAACGCCGTTTTCCCAGATATCATTTGATGAATGGAAGATAGAGCTTTGCGACGCAGCTTAGACGTGACGGAACGGCTCGTACGCGTTGGTGCGACCGTTCTGCTGCATGGGAACGTGGCCCGGGGGAGGAGGGGGCGGGTAGGCGGTATTGGTGTAGGCGGGCTGCTGGGGCTGGCCGTAGGGGCCGAGGGGCTCGTAGGTGTAGGGGGCCTTCTCGGCGGTGACGGCGCGGGCGGTGTTGCGGTGGTTGTAGGGGGAGCGGCCGGAGCAGCAGCAGGTGCTCAGGAGCCAGAACAAGGAGGCGCCCAGCGAGAAGGCGACGGCGAGCCAGGTGGCGACATACATGTTCTTGCCCATCTGGCCCTTGACGCCATAGGATTCCAGCTCGGCCTTGAAGACGCCCTTGAGGACGGCGAACAAGGCGGTTGACGTCACGGAGGCGGCTGTCGTGAAGAGGAATGCGACCTGCAGGCGGGTTAATTACTGGAGGGAACGGAATGGGAGGAATGCGTCAGAACATACAGCTGAGACGAGAGTGGTCACGCAGCTTCCCCAGCGACTGCAGATGGCGAAGACACCCACGACCAGTTCGACGATGGTGGCGATGAATGCGATGATGTAGGCGATGAACATCCACTTGGAGACGCTCTTGTAGACCTTCAGTTCCTTCTTCACGCTGCTGGAGAGCGCGTTCTCAAGACCGGACTCTTCCAAGTTCCACACCTCCAACGGGTTGAACCAGAATTCAGCTTCGGGCTTCGAGCAGTTGGTCGTCTTGTAGTCGTTGCCGTTGGTGATGTTGCCCGAGCAGTAACCCCACAGACCGACGGTGTAGAAGTCCTGGATGTTGTACTGCTCCTCGATCTCCTCCAATGCGGCCGATAGGTCGCCATCCGAGACACCGGCGAGATCGCTGATGGCCGACGTGATTTTTGCGGTCGTCGAAGAGGTTCCGTTTGTGATGTTTTGGAGGTTGATCTGGATCGAGGTTAGTCTGGCACATGTGAATGCATGCAGGCGCATGGTATACATACTCTGAAGAAGTAGAGATTATCCAAGGTGCTGGAGCTGGATTTGGTACAGCCCAGCCCCACCATGATAATACATATTAAGGAGGCGATGGTGAGGACATATGGGGTGAAGATACAGACAATGCGACCGCCTTTACCCATGGTGCCGATGATTTTTGAAAGTGTGATGCTGTTTTTGGTATTTGAAAAACACTTGTCCCGGGAAGGTTGAGAGTGGACAGAGTTGGCAGGAAAGTTGAAGAGAGGAAGAGAGTGAGAAGAGGCTGGAGTCAGCGGACAGAGGCTGGGCTTTAAACAAGTAAATAAACGGGTGAGCCGAAGGATCGCCGGGATGATGTAGAGTTGTGAGAGAGAGAGAGGCGCAGTCAGCAGCAAGCAAATAATGCGGATGGTTGGGAGCAAATTTACAGCCATGTCGATCAGCGGACCAATCACGAGATGTGCCGCACCAACTACGCCACGCTTGTTTCTATTTCGATAATGCAATGTTTCCACCGCAACACGGGACGAGTGGGTCCCTTCACTGCTCTTTTTCTTTGCTTGAGGGCTTTTGACACCGCCAGACCCTCGTGGCGGAGACTCACCAGCCCTACCGCCACGTCAGTTGTGGCTGCGTTAATACGCGTCTTATGGTCAGTCCATCTTATCAAGATTTAGCAGACCCTGCCATTGTACGAGTACGGATAGCTAGAAACGGACTGCCTGGTTTGGGGGGAGCTCGAACCAACCCCTCCAGCCCCAGCTTTTAGCACAGTCGCAATACGACTGCCAAAGTCAAATATCACAGACGAAGGATCCGAGCCCGCCCCAGAAGGTCAAACTTATCTGATACACAGTGGATCGACTCCAGCGATCATCATGTTGATGAGTTTATTATTCATCGACCTTTCCACCAGAAGTTGGACGAGTCAGCCCATTGCCCAAGGCCCAGGAAAAGCAAAACAGGAGTTTTAGGCTTCCCCGTTATCCTCTTGGCAACATTAATCTCAATGGTCACAGATAGACATCAACATTGTAATCCGGGGAGACGTACGTACCCCTCGCTGCAGATTCTGCGTCTAAGCCTCGACACACGCACCTCGCGTCTTGGCTTCATCTGCGGCGTTCCATGGAACCCAACAGGAACATTCGCCTGACTAAGCGGGGAGGATATCTCCTGCACAATAAGAGAACTTCAAGGCAGCTCCAAAATTGCGATTTGTTGCAGTAGACACGAAAGCATTCAACTTGAAATATAACAACGATGTTATGACAGGGAAGAGTCATCGAGACCATCAGTGGCTGATCGACAAGCCGGTTACTGCTCCTCCCTCCGGCAAACTTTGGCTGTCACCGGGAAGCTTACGTTGGCTGTCTCAGGCCGATGCCCTGGTTTATTGACTTCTATTCTGGGCACCCCCTCAATTCGATCCGTGGAACTGCACACACATACTCTGTCTTCACGCTCAAGAGTCAAAAGAACCAGCAGAGCTCAACCTTCCCATCGAGCCAGGCTTGAGCATCCATTCAGTAAGGCTGAAAGGGACAGACCGTCAGTACGGAATACAGCTCTCGTCTATGATGTCAATCCCTTACATAACCATTCGCAGGTCAACGCCAAGAACATACTTTAACATGTACAACCATGTACAACACTTCATCCTCTACACCACGCAAGCTCACCCCAGATACGGCTCCAGAACGTCCAGCATCCCGCTATAAGCCGGCCCGCTGGGTGGCTCCATGCTGAACATGTAATCCGCCCACCACGGGCCAGCCGCCCACCAGACGGCGCCCTTCCACACGTCCGTGTTGTTGGCCATGTACTCCAGCATCCCTGCGATAGCCGTGCGACAGACATCGTTGGTCCCGCCGGCGAACTCGCCCAGGATGCCCACCTTGTCATTGTCCTTCAGCCACTGCGTGGCGGCCTGCAGGCGTTCCGCGCCGATCGTCTCCGACACGCAGACGCCGGACGTCCCCGACCCGTCCGAGTCCAGGTACTGGTGCATCTCGTAGACGAGCTTGTCCTGCGGGTCGGTCAGCGCCTTCATGTTATCGTTGATGTCCGCCCAGGTCCACGCCCCGGACCACGAGTTGCCCTCCGCGAAGATGTACTGGGAGGTGGCGCCGGCGGCCCGGATGCCGTCGATCGCCGCCTGGTTGAGGTCCAGCACCAGGGTTTGGTCCATGGTGTTGTATTCGTTGTCTGTGGTCGTCTCAGTACGGACTGCCGGTGATATGGGGGGTGCTTACTCGTGTCAAAGATGACCAGGTCGTTGTCCTTGAACTGCCCGGCGAGATTCTGCCAGAAGGTCTGGAAGTCGGCGGTGCTGGAGATGATCTCGTTGTTGCTGGGGCGGTTAGCGATGTTGAATTGCGGGATGAGGAGCTCATCACTCACTATCGTCCATAGTTATGAGGGTCTACGATGGCATGGACACCCGCAGCCGTGATTGCATTCACCACCTAACCTTATCAGCCTCGATCATCATGGAGTGCTTGCTCGAACCCACCGTCGTGAGATTGTTCAGGTAGGCCTCGTCATACGACCCCGTCATCGAGTTCGGGACCAATCTTTCCATCATGAACTGCACGCGGAAGATGTTCATGCCCTTGCTGACGAGAGTCGCGATGGCGGAGGTATCCGGGAAGATGTAGTCGATACCCTGGCCCAGTCAACGGGGTGAGTCTTGTCATGGGGAGTGAACGCACCCAAGTTCCCGGAATGGCGGTGCCAAACTCGGCGCCCGACTCATTGGATCCGATCCCTATCGTTATGAGCACTCATCAACTGGGGATATCTCTGATGGGGACAACATACATTCGAAAACAGAAGCCCGCTTCGTGTGTTCGTGGGTCGGGGCCGCCACTGCACTGCCGGACGCGGTAGCAGCAACAAGTAGGTTAAGCAGCTTCATGGTGCCTGTCGACTGTGGAATCTTGTTGCTTCCGCTCCCAACAACCACAACAGCATCTGACTTTTATACTTCCATTCCGTGCGGATTCTACCAAATGTAGAACGGAGCGGCCGACGGAACCTCTACCGTTGCACATCCATCAATACCGCAACCTGACACAACGATCAGCGTGCCTGCCTCTATCCAGCTGTTCAGTAGCAACCCGGATCCTCGACGATCATCGGTGCCATTCCCGCCTTGGCATCTGGGCATTTGGCATCTGGGCCGGGCATCCGGGGTGTGAAACAGGCACGGAAATTACCAGGGATCCTTATTCGCGGAGGTCCGTGGCGGTTCAGGCATGGATGTGCAAGTACCTAGTAACATGATCGCATGGCTCTAGTCTGACAGACTGTACAGAGACTGCCCAACAGCAGCTATATACTCATCACCCATCCTCTCCCTTCCTCCCCCATCCCACCCTCAACAACCAAACCCCAGCACAGCAACCCAGCAACAAACCAAACCTACCACCCCCCGAGAACCCCCAAATACTTCTTCATATCCTCCGCCTGCAGCAAATGATACTTCATCCCCGGATGATAATTATTCCACCACACACAGCTCACCCCATCATCATTGATGCACGTCGCATCCGGGAACCCATACGCCGTCGGATCGTCCAGGACCTTTGTCATGAACGACCACGCGTCGTAGAACACGGTCGTCACCTACCCGCATGCCCCAGTTAGCCAGACCTTTAACCTTACCCCCTCCCCCCTTCCCCAAACTCAACCCCGAGAAAGGAAAAGGGAAATAACATACCCCCGCAAACTCCCCCCGCAACCCCTGCACCATCGCCTCCAGATTCTTATTAAACGTCGCCAGATACGCGGCATGCAACGCAACGGTGGCGTTTCCCTGCTCCAAAAACAAAGGACTGCGGCTAGTGGGCGGGACATTCAGGAACAGAAACCTGCGACCGCCGGCCGCATAGATTTGGGCGACTTGCTGCTTGAGGCGCGCGATGAGGCGCGGGGTGTAGCTTGCTGCGTCGGTGGAGGCGTAGGCGTTGCCGATGCTGTTGCTCGGTTATCAGGCTGCGCTGGGTGATGTGTTTGTTCTGCTTGGAGCCAGGGGCGGAAGAGGGGCAGGGGAGGAGGGAGCGTACTCATTGATCCCGATCCAGATCCCAAACACCGCGTCGCGCGAGGTCCACGGCGCACTGGCCGGCTTGTCGCTGTAGACGGCCTCGAAAAGCCGGAGCTGGGCGGCGAGGTCGCCCGGGTAGGCGGGGACGAGGGCGTTGTCGATGGTGGCGCCGCCGGCGGCGAGGTTGTAGTTGAGCACGAGGGAGGCGTTCTCCTGCGTGGTCAGGTAGCCGATGTAGTTGGGGCCGTTGGTGGTGGTGCCGATGCCTTGATTCCTTGTCAGTTCTGAGGCGAGGGGTGTGCTGTCTGGGTGTGGTTGTCGTCTGGGGTTTTGGGTATCACGGGGGAAGGAGGCTGGAGGAAGATGGCTGAGCTGAGCTTGTAGTAATACAGTACATACCTAAATCCGGATTCCCCATCGGCGCCGCAGCAGACGGTTGAGTCCCCGAGGCACTGAACCCGGTTTGGGAGTAGGAGTCGCCACTGATTATTCGAATCTTAGTATGTTTCTGCAAGCCAGCACACCCACACACACAAGCAGGCAATTACATACAAAGTGAAGAAATAAGTCGGACTGGTCGGCCCCGCGCGAGGCGATGGCCTGGCTCGAGCCGTGGCCAGCATGGCTGCTATCCCAAGCAATAACTTCATGGTGGAGCTGGGCTGGCTTAGATCGGATATGAAGATCACAAATAACAATTATCACCTCGAATGCCCTACATGATGGGTCGCCGCTGTCTTTATATGCAGAGTTCTGGCAGAGATTCCCTTCCCCTCACCCGGGGGGGGGAGGGCTGCTCGATTGCTATTATCCCGAGACGACCCTGGCCGCTTGTTGCTGCTGCTGCTGCTGCTGCTGCAAGTCTGCAAGTCTGCACTGCATCGCACCACAAAGGCTGACACTGGAAAACTGAATTTAACCGGCACCCCAACCACTTGCCAGCTCAATTCCTGCAGCTTGTGTTCCGGGTGCGGGGTTCCAAGCTCTTTGATCTGCAAGGGATCCCTGCAGTGAGGATGGGCTATACCCTTTTGGCTACGGGATGTCCGTCTGGCATGATTGCTTGGTTACGGCGGTGACGGTGGATTTCGTTCCGTGAAATGTATTTGCTATGCGTCTATATTTCTATCTCAAAGGTGTATGTGCAATTCCCATGGTAGCTGGTTCTACAACCGCAGATCCAACATCTCCATGCCCGCCCCGCACACAACCAGCTTGGCTGCACCCGATACCTCGTCGTGGATGATATCCAACGACGAGATGTCCGCCACGCAGCTGTATCGCTCCACCGCTTGGTGGATCTGGAGCCTCTCCCGTCCGTGCCGGCGGGGGTCGACGTCGATCCACCAGATCTTGACTTGGTGATCGTTGCCCGAGGACGCAACGACGAACCTGCTCACCCCATCACCGTCAACGTGAGCATGCTTGAGGACGCGGACCGTCGTGACGCAGGCTGCATGCGCGTCGGGAATGGTCACGGTGGCTGTCGCGTCGCTGGCGCCGGAGGTGTCCATGTCCAGCAGAGTCGCGGTCACGGCGTTGTCGTCGCCACCGGCGACGATCAGCGCCAACGTGGCCGACAGGTCGGCCACATCCATGGCCTTGATGCTGTTCCAGTGGATCTGGTACCGGTGCTCGCAGGAGATCGTCTCCGGCGCAATCGATGCTCCGCGGATGGGTTGCTTGGGGAGGAGCGGCGACGAGATGGTGTAGAATCGCTCGAGAACGGAGGTCAAGTTCCACAGGGTGAAGTATCCATCCGTCGCGGCCGTGATGAGATTCAAGGTAGAGCCTTTCAGAAGGAATCGAGCCTGGGTGAGACAGTTGCTTATATAGGTGCCACTGGCGAGAAGAGTGAAGCAGCCCTTGTCGGTGGACGAGTAATGGAAGATCTAGATCATCAGCACAGCGCATGAGAGATGGGAGGATAGTAAGTACCTTAATGGTGGAGTTGGAGTATGTCAGACAAAGAAGGAATCCATTCTCTGCCTCTCCCTCGTCCACTTCCAACGTATCGAAGCTCGTCACCCGCAGATCGGAGTTGGGGTCACTCTTGGGACACTCTCCCGCCAGCATGGTTCCCAGACCAAACCGGGAAATCGAGCACGCCCGCCAGACGAAGAATTGCTCATAGCCTCCGCTGGTAAAGAGGAATCTGCCATCCTTCGACCAGTTCACGCTCTGGATTCCAGTATGATGCATCCGCAACAGCCGGAGGCATTTGAACGCACCCCAGCGGGGCTCTGATCGCGGGTCTTGAGGTGCGAAAATCCGCACATTGGTGTCTTCTGAGCCAGTCGCAAACAAGGGGCCTAGACCATCCGAGTTCTGCGTGGCACACATGTCCTTTACTTCCCGGCCATGGCTTCCGGAACGCAACGTGCGACTGGCGTCAGGCTGTATCGACAGCGCAGTCAACCCGGACTGAATCCAGATGAAGGATCCCGCCCAAGCAACATCTTGGCTGGGCTGGAACGCCCAGGATCGCCGGCCTCCGTTACAGTTATGTCTGGCCACCTCCGTCTGAGCGGACTCGTTCCAAAGCACAAAGTCCATCGGCTGGAACCCATAGAATATCAAGTCTTTGGAGACGTTGTCAATATAAGCGCCTGCTATCTCACAATTGAACGCAAGGGAGGAACAGTGGAGCGTCCTCAAGGAGACCGAGGGGTCCGGGCCGGTTGAAAAGACCAGCTCATGAATGCTATATGTTCCATTCCGACCACAGGTCATGAAATAGGGCAGGTCAGATCCTCTATCCCCGTAAAGCGATGCAAATGAAGTGATGAAGCTGAGTCCTTCGCGTCCGTGTACCTTGCACGAAGGCATAACTGGCTGAAGGACTTCTGACACTCGCACGGGATACACAGCAAAGGAGCCCGTCAAGGATCCCAGCGAGAGGTACTGGTCATCATGGATCAAGGCTGCAGTCGACACACCGAAACCGTGGGGCAGGTCAAGCTTGACCCTGTCCACGCATGGATCTGCGCCGTCTGCCATCGTAGCCAAGAACAGATCGGCCTTCTCGGCTTTCGGGTAAACTGCGACGAACGACAAAGTTGCAGATTTCTCGGTCGTGCTGGGCTGGTAATCGAGAGCGTACAGTCCCACCGGCCTTTGGCCAGCATCGACAACTTTGGTAAGTGCTCCGGTACTGTGATCATATAGTCGTATTAAGCCTCGGGCGTTACCCAGAAGAGCTATGCCTTTCTGTGGCAAGCCCGTGATGACTGAATACGAGCGCAAGTCTTCCTCAACCGTCAAAGTCTCTTTGAGGATGTGCTGTGTAGTCGAGTTCCCCGTCCCAATCCGTCCGATTTGGATCTCACCACGCACGGTCGTGGCGACAAATGAGTCCTGCGAGACGAATCCGAACCCTTTGATCGAAGTCTCGATGCGAGGTTCAGGATTGGAGGCATCTAGCGATGTTGCGATGCGGTTACGGAGATTGGGCAAAATGACATCTCTATCGCCATGTAGTTCGATGGTAAAGCTCTTCACGGCGCCATCAGCACCACCGGTATAGACAACCGTTTCTGTGTCGGTATGACGCATCTCAAGTGCCCAGATGTGCTTGCCTGTGTGTTTGCGAATAGACATGGTCTCCACCAGGTTAAATTGAGGCTTTTCTGTCGAAGACGGGTCCCAGGTCAGGTCCCAGAGCAAGCATGTAGCATCTTCGCCACGAGACAGCAAATTGACTTTCCCAGGGCCTTGCTTGACAGGCAGGAAATGAACACCCCAGATACGGGCCAAGTGACCAAACGCACTCGCAAGAATGGACTCGGACCCGAGCCCATTGTCACCAGCTCCTGCGCCGAATCCTGTGCCGCGAAGTTCGAACCCATCGGTCGAATAGGCGGGAGTGTCATGACGGGAAGTACGCTCGCAATCGGAGATGTCCCAGATCCTGACAGTCCTGTCGTCACTACAACTAGCCAGCAGTCGTCCATCACGACCCCCATGCAAGGAAGGGATCAGAGGAGAAATCTGAACTCCAAAGATCGATCCTTCATGGCCTGTGAAAAAGTGGTGAATCGACCCGGTTGCACTTGTCGTATCATCCTCAGCCAAGAAGCACGACCAAACTATAATCTCGCCAAAAACAGTGCCAGCCGCAACAAGGATGTGGGATTCGGACAGCGAAAGCACATTCGCCGAATAAAGGATGGACTTGACACCAGCCACAAGTTGGCGGATTTCAATCCGTTTCACATAGTCAGCCCCGGCCTGCCTGACAAGCTGCACACCCAAGAGCGCATTGTGGGCAGTCAGCATATAAGCATTTTCGATTTCGCCATCCGTATCAGGCGCGCATCCGGCCAGGATCCAATCCGGCGCGAGGTACTCTGGGCTCACAGCTTGTATACTTGCACCCAGCTCCTGACTGTCGATTTGTAGAGTGAACGCTCGTACGGACTGCCCGCCCCACGCAAGAAAGTCCGCATGTTGTTCTTGTTCTGACTGACCCAGTGCAACGATCCCATGCACGTGGTTTCGTTTGAACACTTTCAGCTCGGCGAGCAGACGCCCGCTTTCTTCATGAATGAGCCGGACATAGGTCCCTTGGCTCTGGAGAAGAAGTTTAACATCCTTCAAGACCAGCGCCTTCAGCGCAGTTACCGGGACGCATGTGTCAATGTGCTTGGACGCATATTAGCAAACAGCCTCCGTCGCCGACGCAAAAAAGAGCAACCACTCACCTCGAGGGAGGAAGTCATTGATGCTACCAGCGCGACACATTGGTTCGCTTGGTTCCAGATGGCTTGTCACTGACCTCTCTACCTTAAGCGGTGGCTTTTCCCCGCGTGGAGAATCATTTCCTCGCTCAAAAGTCCAGAATTTCCACCCATTGTGAGGATGCTTAGGTAAGCCGTGCGGGATGCCCACTTTTCCCTATTGAGACGCTGTGGCACGTGATGTGCTGTGTAGGAGGACCGAGGGCTCATCTCATTCACCCACAAACAGAAACAATGAATCGATAATGTACCTTGCGCAAAGCTTGGATGCAAACCCGACACGATAGGTTGCTTTGTCGAATGGTTGGTTTTTTGTGCAATACGTGTATGTTCTACAATTTTCGTCATGCCTCGCAAACCGACTCACTTGATATGTTCCGTCGACCGTGGGGTCAGGCTTGACCTTGTCCTAAAGGATTCACAAGCCTTTCTGAGGATTCTTCGTGGCCTCATTGATCTGACAACCTAGGATGCAAGGAGCTACACATGCTTGCAGAACTAAAACTAATCCAAGACATGCGCGGATTGTTCCGAGTACTTTGAGACACTGATCAACAGGCACAGGGGGTAAGCATGCTGATCAAAGTTTCGCTCACAGAGTGCTGGGCGCTGTTTTCAAGCAGCAGATCTAGTGGTCTCGATAAGAAGCCAAGAGCTATCCTTGATAGAATTTGAGCAATGGGGGGTCCATAAGCTTTACCTCGAGCGCTGAGCATATGCAGAAAAGGAAGGGCTCTCCGGCAAGGTCAGATTGACCGCTTAAAGATGTCATCGGCGCCAGTCGCTGCGAAAAGGCACATCCCCAGAGGCGCTGCTTGAACCGATGAGGACAACGAGGTACAAAACTCAATGGATACTTCTCCTGGATCTCCACATCATAGCCTGCATGAAGGGAAAAAAAATCATCTCTCGTCATGCGTCAACAACTAGTGATACCACCCCACCGTTCGTCATGATGTTGCAGTGCCGATTCTTTTTTGCCAAGCAATGCGATACCAGGAGATCGGGTTTCGAATGGTCCAAATGCGGAGATGGTCGATCACTGCGACCGAAGAACACTGCATCTGTGCGTGCGGTATAGGAGCTTAAATTATAGACCCGCATGGATCTGAGACTCGCAATTTATCTCGAATGCTCAGTGCTCAGTACTCTAGCCTCACGAGCACGGTTTGGTGGGTAACTAATTGTAATTTGTGGTCCGAGAGTCTCCATGGGGCTGGGAAGCACTGAGTACACAGTAAAGTAGGTTAAGATTTTCCTGTTCTACACAAACCGGAGGTGAAACCCATGCTATTAGGCAGCCATGCAAACCTTGACTGAACTAGCTTCCAGTCGGTAGGGTCTGATTGCATCGTGCAAACTCTGAATTGGCAGCTTCATCTTCAGTGTATCGAGAGCAAACGATCGATGACATCAGCTATGGGGAAGGCGTTCTTCGGATCGCGATGACGTCGCGGATGGGATGATGGGGACGGAGGGTGGTATATCAGACCTTCCTCGACGGTATCGCTTTTTGTCTTTCCCCTGCTTGTACTCCGTATCTCTGATCATTTTCATAAATTAACAGTGAGCATAACCGAGAGCTCTTCTAATTGCACGCTGTGATTTGCCAATTCGCCCTTGGATCAAGCTTCTTAACAGTACACGCACTTCACTTGTACTCAGTAGGTCGTTGGACTAATTCCTGCCCGACCGAGTCCACAGCCGAATCGGGATTAGAGCGTTGTCTCCGCAGTCTCGACGTCACCAGCCTCCCTAAAGCGTTGCAATCACACCCACTTCAACTCTCTAGTGCTTCTATCTTGTACCGCTTGTACCGCTTGCACCGCAAGGGGAGATCCTCAGGACCCAGAGCGCCAGAGTGTCATCGATCCCTCCTTAACAGATCGCTTAACCGGTTAGTGCCTCGCTCAACCCACGGCTTTTAGTCGATCATTAGCCCACTAATCCAGATCTCGAACAGGTTGCAGTTCCCACCCATCCTTCGTCGGTCTCTCTTCCGTCGCATCCCGTCGCACTCGGTGCCACACGTCACTCCTGCGCAAAAAAAAAAGCTCTATCTTAGAAAGGATCCCGACCGTCCCGATTCTGCTGCATTCCTTTTCCGCGATTTCCTCTCCTCATATCCTCACTTTGCCCTATTCTTTTCATTTCCTTTGAGCTTTCACAACAACAGCGAGCAACCTCGTCACGATGCATCGCACCTATTCTATGCGCCAGTCGCGCGTTCCCACCGCCTCGCAGATCGAGAACCCTCCCCCGCCATTGTCCTCCACCAAGTCGAACAGACTCTTCGGAAAGGGTGGCTTCGGTGCGTGTTCTTCTTTGACCTCTTATGGTGGACGCCCATCCTGCTAACACGATTAAGGTACAGGCCATGCCCTGCGCAAGAACGCCGCCGGCGCCTTCGGGCCAGACCTAGCCCGCAAACTCTCCCAGCTGGTCAAGATGGAGAAGAACGTCATGCGCAGCATGGAGATGGTGTCCCGGGAGCGCATGGAGACTGCTGTACGTTGTCGCTTGCATGGAAGTTCCTGGTCGGTACTGTACTGACAACAGCAGCAACAACTCTCCATCTGGGGTGAGAACTGCGACGAGGATGTGTCTGACATCACCGACAAGCTCGGTGTCTTGCTCTATGAGATTGGGGAGCTCGAGGATCTCTTCGTTGATCGCTACGATCAATACCGTGTTACCATCAAGAGCATTCGCAACATCGAGGCGTCCGTCCAGCCCAGCCGTGACCGTAGGTTCCTTTTCCCCAGTGCCGCAAGAGTCAAGTTACTGATCGTGTATCCACAATGCAGGCAAGCAGAAGATCACCGATGAGATTGCCAAGCTCAAGTACAAGGACCCCAACTCTCCCCGCATCGTCGTCCTGGAGCAGGAGTTGGTCCGCGCGGAGGCCGAGTCGCTCGTTGCCGAGGCCCAGCTCTCCAACATCACCCGCGAGAAGCTCAAGGCCGCCTTCCAGTACCAGTTCGATGCGCTCCGCGAGCACTGCGAGAAGGTGGCGCTGATCGCCGGCTACGGCAAGCACCTGTTGGATCTGATCGACGACACACCAGTGACGCCCGGTGAGACTCGCCACGCCTACGACGGCTACGACGCCAGCAAGGCCATCATCCAGGACTGCGAGGAGGCGCTCGCCAACTGGGTCACCTCCAAGGCCTCGGTCAAGTCCAACCTGTCCACCCGCTCGCGCACCCTGTCGCAGCGTCGCCGCGAGGGCGTGAACAAGAGCCGCGAGGGCGTCGACCTCTCCGGCCAGGATCAGCCTCTGGGCCGTGACTCGTGGGTGCCCGCCGACCAGCACTCGTCCTACCACCACGATGTAGAGGATGGCGAGGAAGTCGCCAGCACTCTGGACGGTGAGACCCGGGGCCGCGAGGAGGAGCGAGAGCCCGAGACAGCCGTTTAGAGACCCACTTACCGAAGAAATCTGGTTGATATTATCACGATCATTAAGGTTCCTGGAGTATGCCACTAATTGTGATTTGGTTTTCATCGAGATTCCCGCTTGATGTGTTGTTCTGCCTTGTCTGCTTTATCCTCTTTTCCTTTTCACCCCCGATGAATTACTGATAATTAATCAATTCCGATGACGATGTCTATCCTGCCAGAAACAAGAAAAAAAAGAACATAATATCCAGTCGTGTGTCCGCCAGAGGGGTGTGAATTTGTGTGTGAGGGCGCACACGTCTGCGATGATAGCCACAGGGGGGATATGACCTTTTTCCGCGGGCGACTTTTTCCCTCTACTGTCCTAATCGACTAATGTAATACTATACCACTTGCCCAAGTTGACGGCGATGGGGAGGTACATGTTTCACGTCTGCTGTGTTCCGTCTTGATTGCAGTCATGTTGTTTAGGATTTGAATAGTAATCGATTGACTTGCGGTCGTTTTCGTTGGAGTATGGTCTTGTAGTAGATTGGTTAAGAGCGTGGTGAGCCCATCCATCTCTTCAAGGCTGGGGGGTCTAGAGACAGAAGTACTTTAGATTGCCCATTCGTCTCAAACCATGAAAACGATAGATACCCACCAACCTAGCACCGCATCTCACTGATACCCGAACAGCGATAAACGACCACCCCGGCCTAAGAACCGCTACAAAACCCTGAATGAAAATGCATGAGCCCTAAGCAGGGCCACCAACCGCAACACAGCCAATCACCCACTATCTTCCCATCCGCTGGCCTAGACAAGAATCCCCACCACCATCCCATCCAAAGATGTGACCCCAGAAGATACCTAAGGTCAGCGATGATCCCCCCGACCCGGATTTCAGCCATCCGCGGACTCAACTCCATTCCATAGATGAGCACTGCCATGGCGTCAGACGCATACAGGGACAACCCCTCGATCTCGCGAATTCCCCTCCGTAATCTCTTGATAGGGTATCTTTCTGTTGTTCCCCGCTTACCTCACTATTTATGATACCAGCATCGGCCGAGTATGGATGTCACGTCCCAAGGCATGGGACTTGGGATGGTGGGTGGGGTATGTATGGGTGGGTGGTTAGAATGCTGCCGCTGCTGGTGCTGCTGGTGCTGGTTGCTGAAGTTAAGGGCTGTAGGGGTGGGGGTATACTGTCGTGGTGTATAGCTGAGTCCAGCATGAAGCAGATATAGATATAGGTATAGATATAGACTTACAAGATTCGTCGAGGACCGGAGTCCCTAGCTTGCGTTCTGGTCCGGTGTAGCTATACTAGATCAGCCTGCTCCGGTGTTGCGGGCTGTCGTCGGGCGGTTGGTGGTTGGTGGTTGGTGGTTGAAGCACTTACTATCGTCACACGGGATCGTTCGGGGTGTAGTTTATTATGCATGGTACGGTGGCTCAGGTGCAGCCTTTTGAGATTGCCGATTGCCGGGGTATAGATCTAGAGCTCTGTGTTGGGGGCGAATGATTATGGTGTTTTTCTAAGAAAGGGGAGTTAGGATCTACTTTGGGCTCATGGGGTGTACTGTTACTGTGCTAGAGAGAGGGGAAGTATATTTGAATGTATAGAGGCACGTCCATACACAGCCTGTGTCATCTCTCGATGCCCAGTATACGTTACATTGACTAATCCTGCCAGGCATTCAACACGCTGGTATAGCCAGAGCCAGACAGTAAAGTACTCACCTCAGTAACGCAGGCCCGGGGCAGAAAGAGTCAGCTCCCAATCCGGCAGCCCGTCCCCGCGATTCTGCCTCCAGATTCCTCAGGCAGGAATGCCGAGTGCGGGTGCGGGTTGCGGGTGCTGGCCGAGGTGATGTCAGTCGCCTGCATCGGTCACACCACTGCAGAATGTCCTGCCCTTGAAGAGATCGAGGATCATTCATTCATCGCCTACAACTCACCGAGTGATAGTCTAGTGCAGTGTGCGGTAGCGGACACCTCAGCTGAGTACTGCGTACCCTCGAATCATCTTGCATTAGAGTAAGGTGCAGAGAGGCTAGTGCAGAAGTACCGTACAGTACATGTAGACCACAGTGCTAAGTTGTTGCAAACTGACCAGCCGATATCTCCCCCGTGGGGGTGCTAGATTTGGAGTGATTTAGGTTCATGATGGCGCAATTCCTGATGGGGATTGCATTCATGGACTGCCCTGAGACGAGGCTATAATTCCCTCCAATTAACGGAGTTACCTGGTGTGGGAATATTGGACACCGAAAACTGAAGCAACTCGTTCATTGAAGGTTTGTCCATTGGGCTCTTCTTGTTCTTTCATTCTCAGTCTGGTAAACCACTTTCCCCCTAAGTCCCCAGGGGTGGCCGGCTTCAAAGCGCCATCTCATAGCTATAGCCCATACGATAGTGAAGATGCGAGAATGTACGTGCGTGGGTCTCAACTCGAAAACAACCAAAAAAAGTCAATATAAACACCCCCAATTCCCTGGACTCCGATTTGCGCGTTGGATGGAAACAACGAAACAAACAACACAAAACACAAATGTATATATAGAGAAAAGAAATAGCAAACGGTCACAATCGAGGCTTCCAGATCCTGATCCTGATCTCCATCCCGCCCTGATAGTAATAACTCGGAAATGTTCAGTAAACGACACACGTGTATATGACTGGCCTTCATATACCGCAACATGATGATGATGAGAATAAGCGTGGGTGGTGTGCACACTAGGTAAAGGATATTGAAAGAGAAAATCAAAAGGTCATTACATCGTCATCCGACTTTCCATCCTAGGATGGGTCCCCGGCCTTTCGAAGCGAAAGGTATGAGAAACATACAAATAGATAAAAACAGATGCGAAGAAGCACGGCGTCAATCGGAATCCTCAAACTAATCAGAGCGCAAGGGACTCAACATGTCGCGTGATTGGAGAATCAAAAAGTAGGTTTTATGCGATTTCTTTTGATTTGACACGGGCTCAGCTGTCGGTTCCCACACCCTTCTTTTTGGGCTGGATATGTTTCTGTCCAGGGCCGGTGACGCTGGATGTTTTCGAAGTCAAGGCGCTGCTGTCGGTCGGGGGCGGCGCCAGCCGGGTCGAGCTGGCTTCGTGCTTCTCGGTGAGCAGGTTTTTCAGCCATCGGTTCTCCATCTCCAGCTGGGCCACGCGAGCCTCGAGCGAGGCGTTCCTCTCGGTCGTCTCGCGCACGGTGCGTTCCAGCGCCTGTTCACGTTGCTTCTTCTTCATGCGGAACCGGGCACTGGCGGCCGTGTTCCGGCGGCGGCGGTCTTCTTCCGCGGCGCGGCGGACCCCCTCTTCCTGATTGAGTGCCGACGCGAGGTGATCGCCAGGAATCTGTGTGCTGTATTTGGTGTTGGTGATAGCACCGTTGGGAGGTGATATGGACGAGGAGACATCAGATGGAGTCAGGGCCCCGGGGACCTGCGCCAGATCATCTGGGGGCCCATATGAGATAGGTGGGTAGAGTGGGTGAGCTGGATAGGAAAGCATTTGATCTGTTGTGAAGCTGTCAACACCAAGGTAGAGGTAGAGGAGAGGACGGCGAGCGATAAGATAAAAAAGCCACAGTGGAATGGAGGAAGGGGGGTGGAAAGGAACAATGGAAGCGGAAGCAGCAAGATATGGGGCACATGGAAGGGGATCTTGGTCCGGTACACCAAGGGATGAGAGCTTGGCTTAAGGGTCCGTCACTGACAAGGTTCCCGACGTTGTCATTGGTGTGAATGATTGCGTGCTCACATAGAGCATTGCACTCATCACCAGACAACCAAACGTCCCCGGAATTAGATTGGTCAAAATATGAGCAGTCAGAAGAGCAACAAACCAGTGCGCACGAGGAGGGTGATTGCTTTCTCCAGAGCACTCGAGAAATCACCCTCCCGCAATGCATTGATCATTGCTGGGTCCGAAACAGCAGTAAGGGGAGAATGGAAGATAGCAACAGAGAAGACAACAGACAGGCACGAGGCGGTTAGAAAAGGGAATGGCAAAGCCACGGAATCCCCATCAGGCAGCCAGGTAAGACAATCAATCAATCAATCGATAGTAATGGGTTTAAAGTCCCGTCGGTTTCCCAGAAACAGGAGGCAAGCGTTTGCTGTTACATGCATTCCGCAGTAGCTCCAGCATATCCCATCGGAGCGCCGTAGGGCCAGAGATTGGGAAAACGAACCACAAAGCTTGAAGATGGCGCCAACAATGCAACAATGAGAGTCATTTATGAAAAGCTCCAAGCTTCCGACTTACCATAATGCGGATATCCTCGCACATCGATCGGACTGCGCTCGTCCTCAATGCTGTCATACGAACTGACGGAAAGGCCGCCCATCCCCTCGGTCTGGTCGTAATCCATATTCAGGTTCTGGAAGGAGGCCAAAGCTGTCGATTCTGCGTCAAAGGAGTACTGTCGACTCTTGGCCAGGTTGGGATCGTGTCGAGAGAGAAGAAAGTTGAAGTTTTCGAGCCTATCGAAGCTCGAGGCTGTCCGCTGAGCGAGGGTTTGCTCATCTGACATTTTGGCGGTGGAGGGCTTTTTAGAGGATTTTTGGTCTCTTGTCCTCTAAATTAGGTTCTCTGTTTTATTAAAATTGGTTTGCTGGACCTAATGACTTTGCCCCCCAAGTATGCTGGGGGTGGCTTGCTTTTTTTTTCCCCGAGCCAACAGAGAGAGTGATAGATGACCACCAGAGCCAATGTCCGACCCCGGATCAGCACGGTAAAGGAGGGGAGAAGTCGGTTTTGGGTAAAGAAGAACAAATGATCCAAACAGTTAAAGAATAATTTTAATATTTTTTTGTTCTGTCTTTGAGCTGGAAGAGGCAAATGTTGGGGGGTGACTTATAGCAAAGATAAACTGTTTTCCGCATTCACTTTACCTATGATCATGGCATGGCCCGGGACGGCTAGCCACGTACGCAAAGAGCACGAGTTAAAGGACGGGAATAAGACACAATTAGCTTAGCTGAGTGGATCAAACCAGGAGGAATGAGAGGGGAGAAGGAGGAAGGGGGGGGAGGTGGGAAGTGGGTGGGAGGCGTTGGGTTGGTAGCAGGAGGTGCAGGATCACACAACAGTAGGGTGGTAGTAAAAGGACCAGCAGCAATAGGAAATTGGAGTATGTATCATCCAAACAAAAAGGTGAGAAAAGAGAACATCATGTCGGGGGGGAGGGGGGAAAGGGAATAAGCACACAAGCAGCGAATACGGACAGTGATGGTTGATCGTCTCATGGCCCGGCCAAGGCTAGCGGATGATCTGATAGAATGGAGAAATGTCGTGATCGCACTCTGTGGTTGGTCAATTTGCCAACCTCGGGTCACTTCATTCAGCTTCACCGCTCGGCGGCAGAACAGAGTGGGAGGGAGTAAAGAAGTTACGGAGAGGAAGGATAGAGGACAGGGAAATGGGGATGATATAAATATTGATATCTATGTCATGAGATTGTGGTCCAGTTGAGAAAAACGAGAAATTCCAGAAGGGTAGAAGGGTTA